TGATGTGCTGTTGCAATCGGCTTGCCAGCATTTTATTGAAGATTTTTGCATCTATGTTCATTATGGATATTGGCCTGAAGTTTTCTTTTCTTGTTGAGTCTCTGCTGGGTTTTGGTATCAAGATTATGTTGGTCTCATAAAATGATATGGGAAGGATTCCCTCTTTTTGGATTATTTGTAATAGTTTCAGAAGGAATGGTACCAGCTCCTCTTTGTATGTCTGGTAGAATTCGGCTATGAACCCATCCGGACCTGGGCTTTTTTTGGGTGGTAGGCTCTTAAGTGCTGCCTCAACTGCAGACCTTGTTATTGGTCTATTCAAGGTTTCTACTTCTTCCTGGTTTAGGCTTGGGAGGATGCAAGTGTCCAGGAATTTATTCATTTCTTCCGGGTTTACTAGTTTATGTGCATAGAGTTGTTTGTAATACTCTCTGATGATGGTTTGAATTTTGTGGAATCTGTGGTGATATCTCCTTTATTGTTTTTTATTGCATCTATTTCATTATTCTCTATTTACTTTTTTATTAATCTGGCTAGTGGTCTGTATATATTATTGATCTTTTCAAAAAACCAGCTCCTGGATTTATTGATTTTTTAAAGGGCTTTTTGTATCTCTATCTCCTTCAGTGCTGCTCTGATCTTAGTTATTTCTTGTCTTCTGCTAGGTTTTGAGTTTTTTTGATCTTGCTCCTCTAGCTCTTTCAATTTTGATGATAGGCTGTCCATTTTAGGTCTCTCCTTGCTTCTCATGTGGACATTTATTGCTATATATTTTCCTCTAGAGACTGCTTTAAATGTCTCCCAGAGATTCTGGTATGTTGTGTCTTCGTTCTCATTGGTTTCAAAGAACATCTTTATTTCTGCCCTCATTTCATTGTTTATCCAGTCAACATTCAAGAGCCGGTTGTTCAGTTTCTATGAAGCTGTGTGGTTCTGAGTTAGATTCTGAATTTTGAGTTCTAACTTGATTGCACTGTGGTCTGAGAGACTGTTTGTTATGATTTTCGTTCTTTTGCATTTCCTGAGGAGTGATTTACTTCCAATTATGTGGTCAATTTTAGAGTTGGTGCGTTGTGGTGCTGAGAAGAGTGTGTATTCTGTGGATTTGGGGTGGAGAGTTC